TGCTATTTATAGTTTTATACCGACCTCCTGGTCCTTACAGCGAGTTCCTAACAGAATTCTCTGACTTCATTTCAAACCTAGTTTTGGGATGGGAAAACATAGTTATAACTGGAGACTTCAATATACATGTGGGCGACAGCACTGACAGCTTAAACAAAGCTTTCAGCGCCGTACTAGATGGTGTTGGTTTTACTCAGAATGTCGAGGAACCTACTCACATTCATAACCACACCTTGGACCTTGTCCTGACCTACGGCTGTGATGTCTCCAATGTTGACATCCAGCGTCAAAGCTCGTTGCTGTCTGACCATTTCTTGATCACGTTTGATCTCGATTTGGAGGACTTTCCTGTCCCGCAATATAAAACCATAATGAAAAGAACCTTAAATGATAAATCTATCACAAGGTTCAAAGAACTAATACAGCCAATGTTGAATACTGCTGCACGTGAACCTGTTCACAGCTGCTGCAGTCCCTCAGTCATTGACCAAACGGTGGACAACACTATGGAGTCTTTAAAATCTGCATTAAATGCAGCAGCTCCCTTAAAACAGAAAACTATTAGGATTAGATCATCGTCGCCCTGGTACAGTGTTCAACTCCACACTTTAAAACAGGACGTCAGAAAATTGGAGAGGCTATATCGCCACTCCCACTCGGAGCCTGTCCACAGGGAGTGGAAAGCAGGTCTGCGAAACTATAAGAATGCCCTTCGCAGGGCTCGAACTCAATACTATTCAGCTTTAATAGAAGCCAATAAAAATAACAGTAGATTTTTGTTTAGCACCGTCGCTAAACTCACAAACTGCCATAGCGCAATCGAGCCTAAAATTCCAAGCTCACTGAGCAGTGTCGACTTTCTCCACTTCTTTAATAATAAAATTACATCCATCCGTGACAAACTGGAGGAGGTTGCTCCTGCTGTTAGTGGTGGACAGGCTGAAGCGGCATACGTGACTTCCCACTTAGACTCTTCAGTGGGCCTCGATAAATTCATGGCTGTGAGCCAAGCAGAGGTGATCTCTGTGGTCACATCCTCAAAAGCCTCAACTGGCATGTTAGATGCAATCCCGACTTGGCTCTTCAAAGACATACTTCCTTTGATAATTGAGCCTATCGTAAATATAATAAACGCATCCATACAATGTGGCTATGTCCCACAAGCTTTTAAAAACCGCGGTAATCAAACCCCTTCTGAAGAAAACAAACCTGGATCCAGAAATACTTACAAACTACAGACCGATCTCAAACCTCACTTTTATATCTAAAATCCTGGAAAAACTTATAGCTGAGCAGTTTCGCTGCCACCTGCAGGAAAATAATATGTTTGAAGTCTTTCAATCAGGATTCAGAGCTCATCATAGCACTGAAACGGCACTAGTCAAAGTCACAAATGACTTACTACTAGCTGCTGATAATGGGCAAGTGTCAGTGCTGGTCCTACTGGACCTTAGTGCTGCATTTGACACAATAGACCACAGCATTCTACTGCAGAGGCTAGAATGTGATATAGGTCTTAGAGGAACAGCCCTTGGCTGGTTTAAATCCTATTTATCAGATCGGTATCACTTCGTCAACGTAAATCAGAACTCGTCACCTTATTCTGGAGTAGATTTGGGTGTGCTGGAGTTAGCATGGAATTAATTTCCACTGCTGGATGTGTGCATAAAGGACGCAGGGTTCGGTACTCGGTACCGATTCATTTTACTCTCTACCAAGCAACTGCTGCCAAAATTAGGAATTTCCTTCCTAAAAGTGACGCGGAAAAACTCATTCACGTGTTTGTCACCTCAAGACTTGACTACTGTAAAGCGCTTTACTGGCAGCGTGCCCTAAAGCGTCTTTGAAGAGCTTCCAGCTCGTTCAGAATACAGCAGCTAGGATCTTAACAGGTACCAAAAGGAGGGAGCACATAACTCCTGTGTTAAAATCACTCCACTGGCCAGACGTCTAGTGGTCCCTAAGGTCGCTCAAAAACGCCATCACTGTTGTGTGGCAGAGCATTTAGCTACCAAGCTCCTTTACTGTGGAATCAGCTTCCCATTTATGTTAAGGAAGCAGATACGGTCTCCACCATTCAAGGCCAAGCTTAAAGCACTTTACTTTAATTTAGCCTATAATTAGGTAATATATAATATAATGGTGTATATATATATATATATATATGCAGTATTATGTTATATATTATGGTTATATATTATACAATAATGTATTGTGTTATGTTGTATATTATGTTATATATTATGCTATGTATGTTATGTTGTGTATTATATATGAATATATATGGTATGTATGGTATATATGATGTATATGATATATAATATATAATTAGGATCGGTTTGCACACCTGGTGTGCAATCTATGAATCTCTTTATTCAAGGCTAGGTTTAAAACAGTCCTCTTTAGTTTAGCATATGGTTAGGAAGGTAAGACTCGGGGAAGGCTAAACTCCTCAGAGTGTCAGTCAAGCTGCATAGGGAGTCAGTTTGCTGGGAGAAGTATGGTAACTTGAGCACTATCCTCTCCTCCTTCCTACTTTATCTACTTTATCTGTTTAGCACTTTTAGGATTCTGACTGTAGTTTGTTCATTGCTATTCACCCGTTGTCCCATTGTCTAGTTTCATGGTACGATGACGGGATTTCTGAGCCTGGCCTCCTCCATCTACACCTGCGGACTACCCCGCCCGACCCGCCTGGGAGTGCTTTGGTCCTGCACCGGACCTGTCCACGTTCAGCGGCCACTGGTCCACGTCCTGTAGCTAGCTTAGGTCCTAGATCATTAGCCTGTCCGTCCGGAGGAGCGGATCCCTTTCTCATATGGGTCTCCCTCCGTGTGGGTTTCCCTAGTTCTCCCCAAGGTTTCTCACTTTTTCCCACTGGGTTTTTTAAAGAGTTTTTCCTTGTTGATGCAGGAGGGTCTTGTTGGACAGTTAGTGTCCAACAGAAAGGATTGGTGATGATCAGGACACTTTAGCATTCTATAACATGTATGGACATTTTCTTCTGTGTGTGCTTTATATTCTCCATGTGTTAACTGTTGATTCTCTGACCTGTGTTGGTGATTTCAATGGTTTTGTTAAGTCCTCTGAGATGACTTCTGTTGTGACCTAGGGCTATACAAGAATAAATTGTATTGTATTGTATTGTGTACTTGTCTCAGCATGTTTTTCTAATTTAAGATATTAATTCCACATTCTAAAACATGGAACCTTTTTCTAAAAACCCAAACTCCAAAAAACTGTAGGCTTGAACCTTTGGACATATATAGCACATAAAGATAAACATTTACACAATCATTTTACAAGTTCCCATTGGTAAAATGTCTCTTTTTTGACCTAAAGAAACGTGACTCTCTAGAAATGTTAACAAAGGGAACTGCTCCAAACATTGAATCAGGGTCAGATACGGGTTTGCTCATACTAATTACCTCATGGGTTTTCCTTAGAATGTTGGTCCTTACCCATGGGGTGGGGATGTGTTGTGTTATCTGGAGGGTGCCGCTGCTGAGGCCTGTCTCCAACCTGGTGGTGGATCACAGTATTGCAGTCTAAACCGACAGTAGCTCAGTTGGTAGAGCATTGCCCTTTGAGCCAGAAGGTTGTGGGCTAAAACCAAAGACTTTTTCCACCGACTCCCACTGATGTCTGGTGTCCTTTTGTCCTAGGCGAGCAGTGGGGCGGCTGTGGCTGTAAAGTGCCAAGCTGCCATTGTGTCCTTAGGCAAGACCACTTCACCCCCATCGCCTAGAATTAGTCTGGTGTGTGTGTGAATGAATGGTTGGTGGTGGTCAGAGGGGCCGATGGCACATACTGGTTGCCTGGCTTCTTTCAGTGTGCCCCAGGGCAGCTGTGGCTACAGTAGTAGTTTATCACCACCGTGTATGGAGTGAATAAATAATGACATGTGACGCGTCTTGAGTGTCCAAAAAAGCCTCTTTACCGCGATGAAAAACCCGAGAAATTCACCACTGACCCTTCTTGAGTGAAGGGTCCCGGTTTTCCAAGAAGTAAAAATAAAATGTCTCCGAGTCCCAGTCCCAGCAGATCGTTGCCAAGACAGGTGAGTCTGACCAATGTTTTTTTCTCGTCATCCCAGGTCTCATATGGGGCTTTGAATTTGTTAATTTCGGTCTCAAATACTCATTTTTAGGTTGCCGTTATATGTCCTCTGATCTTCTTGCGTTAAAGTGCTTATATACGGTGTTATTCGCCCACTGAGTCTTTAAAAATACTCGTTGCAGTCCATGCTTCAGTATGTGCCGCTCTGTCTTCTTGCCACCCAGCGAGGGGCGCATGCGCACACGGGTGTAAACAAAGATTCCTCTATCCCTACAGCTTTCACAAAGGTCTAGTTCAGTGGATTTAAATGGCCCTTGTCGTCCCGGTTCTTTCTCTCTCCCCTCCAGTCCATTTAAACAGTGCCTTTCACTCCCTGCAACAAGCTGCTGCTGTTTGTGTAGAAACCCTCCTCCTCCCCATCAGCGCTAGCCTGGCTATAGCCATCTGTACCACTCCGCTCAATCATCATTTCACTGCATGTAACGTCTGGGTCTGGCCCCCTGTGTTAGCGAATACAATCGGATCCGTATTTCGACCGGTGTTTCTGTCGAGTTGGTCTGCCCGTCGAGATGATCTGCCTCAGCTGTTGATGATGTAATGCAAACCTACGCTGCGCGTCTCACGGCAGCCGAAGCAAACCAAGATGGCGGACATGTAGTCCGCGAATTGCTTTAAAAAGTTAAAATACAAACGAATTAAGGACACGAATGTCACTTTTAATGCAATTTGAGGCGAGATGTTGATGAGTTTTGTGCTAAAGTTTGTTGTAAGCAGTACACTGCTCCTGTGAAACTACTACACTGCTAGTGTACC